CGAACAGTCAATAAATATTAAATTGATAAAACCAAAACTCTTACTAACAATATACTTAATACTTAAACAAAGGTTTAACTGAATATAAGAATCTGTTTGAAAAGAAAGCTCACGGTTTTTTTGTCCACTTCTAAGTAATGGGATTTTCACTAACCGCTCGAAAAACATGCTCTTTCAGACCGAATCAGAAAGCTTTTCCCCTGATTTCATTGAAAATAATTACGAAAACAGTTAAAATCGGCTGGGCAAAGGCAGCTGAGTAGCTGGGTAGCCGGGTAATTTCATAATCAAGTTCCATGTAACATGTTTCTAATGAGACCACAATGAGCACAGAGATTTTCACGACAAAGCGGCAAACTTGTTCTCCGGCCCCATGGCTTCGACCCGAGAACGTGATGCCAACAAAGCCAAAAAGCGAGACGAGACGCAATGGGACGGGACGGAATGGGGATGCCGGCCATCATCTTTGTCGCCGGCGAAGAGTTGAACGTGACACTCGGACGTGATTATGTCAACGGTGTTTGGGACTCGGGAGAGAGAAGCCCCCTACTAACCCAAAACTCCTTGTCTCGCATTCGGACTCGGAGATGTTACTCAATAGGCCAGGTCGCGCTTTAACTGCAACTCCCGGCTTAGCCTCACACATTCTCGGGATCTTCAAAGCGGTCCGCGTTAATTCCCGATGCTTTTGGTCACGGCACGTCGACGACATCAATTCTGACGGAATCTGGTGGAAACTGAAGAGCTGTGAGTGCCTTTCTGGGCCAGCTGATTAATTGCGCTTTCGGGTCGTCTTTCCACCTGAAAACCCATCCCCATCTCCAGCTCCATCTCCACTGCAGCTCCATCTCGTTTTCCCGGACTTTGTCAATTTGTACGTCTTCCTTTCCGTCCGTCATTTATCAACTCTCTTTTCATTTGTGGCAGTTTCCTTGGGTAATTAGAGTCGCTGCCCGATTTTCGACCAATTCTAATTCTAATTCTGTTCGTTGAACTCTATTTTTGGGCCGATTTGGAAGTGTTCCAAATGTCGTGACTACACCACATAAAAATGTTTGCAAAAAGGAGGGAAATAAAGCAGAAAAAGTAACAATTTATTTTGTGTTCGTGCGTTCCCAATTTATGTGACATCTTGGAAATTTTCTCTACATTTCGCGTTGGAATTTAGGCTTTTGTCGGAATCCTGCTCTAAAAAAAATTGGCTATAAATTTGATTCATTCTAAAAAACGATTTATGCCAATTTGATAGTGTTTAGTTGATACATTTTTAATGAGCTTTTTGTTAAAACACATTTTACTAGAAAACACTTTTACGATTTTCTAGCGTTAGTTTTATAAGTTGTTTGATTCAGCAAAAGTCTTTTTTATATGACCTAAGCACGTTTTCGGACTAACTTTCAGGCCTTTTAATCGCCAGCATTGCAGACATTTATTAATGTCTTTTGTTAATTTAAGACAATTCTGTAAATTCTATTCATAATCGACCTCTGGCGAATCTGACAGCATCTGAAGGTGTTGCCTGGGACCGAGTCTAATAAAACCAAAACCTAAAATTGTAGAATTCTAAAAACGCGGTCGAGGTCACGCACTGACATTTCCGATAATGAATGTACGATCTGGTGGGCCATTGTTGTTTTTTGTCTATATACCCAAAGCCGATTGCTCAACTCTTTGGTCATTCTCAACCACACCGAATTGCCGAATTACAACAACCGGCCGTCTGAGTCAACGAACCTCGGCCGCAGACATCCAAGATATAGAGATATAGATACGCGACGTGCCCAGCACACAGTTTCTATTGAGTTGCGGCTGGTAAAAATAGCCGGCGCATTAGAGGAACTTATTTTGACCGATTCCGAGGGGCGATCAACATTTCGCATGAATAAACAACGCGAGGGAAAAAGGGGAAAGAAAGAAAACAGGAAAAACTGAATTTTTTTGGCAGCTTTTCGGAAGACTGTAAAAATGCTGTAGTGCCTAAAAAGTGTTTGGCATTTTTTGTGACTTGGTCGGATAGTAGAGGCGAAGAGAATCTATTGGGCATCAAAAAATATAAACTCAAGGCTACTAATTCAACGTCTGAATAAATCACTAACATGTGAAAAAGCCATCTGATCCTATTCAAATGAAAAGGTTTTAGTTACTGAAAGTACAATTTATAAAATCAATAACCCCATGGGGTCGTCTTCAGTTCGTGGAACCTTTCTAGAGCCCCTCAATCACTTCTACATTTTCAGCCACATCATGCTCAGAAATGTATGATTTTCGAACACTTTCACACCACTGTGGGCCAACACATTCACTTTTCCTGCCAGTCGGTCGTGCTGGTTTTGTTTTTGCCTCAGATTTCAATCTAGAGAACTTCGCACTGACTCCAATTTGTTTTCCCTGATTTCTTTTATTATTTCCTACGCTCGCCAATAATCTTGAGACCTCTCGAGAGTCTGGCGCGCAGAAAATAATAATAATGCAAAAAATGAACGGCTGCTCCTCAAGTTCAGGCTGCGCAGATTAGTCACGAATTTTGCATAAAGTTCTGCATTCTAACTCTCATATTTCCAGCGCTCCTCAAGTGGGTGGGTGGCGGCGAATGCATTAGAGCTAAAGCCAAAGCAAAGTTAAGGCATTGCCCAGACCTTAGAGTCGTGCCAAGATTGGGAGTGGTTCACCTCAGTTTCGGCTCGGCTCGACTCGGATCGCTTTGGATTTGGTTTGGGTTTTGGCTTTGGTTTTGGTTTTTGGTTGCTGTTAGAGCCAAGAGACCGAAAACAAAGAGAAAGGCGTTCCTCCAAAAACGACACACAATGTTGCGGCTTTGGTTGACTAGGGTTGGGTTTGAGCTTCGACTTCGACTGCAGCTCGGGTTCTCCGGTCGCCGGTCTTCCATTCTGGTAATGAGCCCCAAGTATCGCAAATAATCAACCCACACCTGCCTCTCCGGATCCTCCCCGCTCCACTGTTTCCACTCCCACTCCTCCCGCGTTGAGGTCTTACTCATCCCAGCCCATATGTTTGCAAAGTTTGTTCTTTGCCAGGGGCCCTCTTCTTCGATGACTCGACTCGCTTAAGTCGGGTTCATTTGTCTACTTGCCCAACCACCAGGCAAGCGGGCCAAGCCAAGCCTCTGAAAGAGAATTCTTTTGTTTCTGCAGTCTTGTAATTAGATATAATGATAAGATCATAATGCAAAACAATTTGATGCAGAAAATTGCTTGGCTTGAGTAAATCGCTATGCGAAATAGTGGAGTTACGAAAAGTAACTGGCTATTACTTAAAAATTATTACAAGTAAATTTGTGAATTTGAATTTGAAACTCTGAGGACTTTCGGCGCCAAAACAAAGAAAAGCTCATTTTGACAGCCTTCAACTACGAATCAGTCTTTCGAATTCCTCCAATATAATTAAATTTATTGCGCAGAAATATGCGATGGCAGTAAAAGTTACCCGCCGAAAAAGAGGAGAAAAATCCCAGCAGCCCGTCAAAACTTTCCCGCTTTGCCGATTGCCGTTTGCAAGGAGGGGGAAGATTTGCTAAGGCTTCCCATAAATCTTCCTCGCGGCGTCGCTTTCTCGGATCATTCTTCAAACTGAAAATGGCAGAGCGGAGTCGCAGAGTCGCAGAGGTGACTTCGCCAGGGGCTTCGGCTTTGGCAGCTGCCTTCGAGTGTCAATTTGGCCATTGCCCAACGTAAATCAAGAGCAGGGGGAAGCTGTCCAGGGAAATCATTTTCATAATTCGCCATTTTCCGAAGCGAGGCCCAATCTCTGTGACATTTCAATTTGCCAGCGTGCCAGTGTCGAAGGGAGGCAGCAGCGGAGGTTCAATGAAGACCTCAAGCAGGTGAACAGGTGAAAATTGAAATTTACGAGTATGTTTGCATTGGGTCTCGCTTCGCCGAGCTCCGATCGAGGGGCTCTGGGCCTCGAGTTGAGTAAGGATGTGTCCGCGGCAGTAAATAAATGTCCGTGGCCCGAACACTTTGGGGTGCAGAGGTTGTCTCTAAAAGTCTTTCTTCGCTCCCCTTCGGAGCGCCCCCCTCCCCAGCTCCCCATATTTATCGATTTCTAATTTCAACTTTTGCGCACCTTTGTTGATTTTTCATATTTTGTCGGTGACGCAAGAGTTCGCCGGGGTTAAACTGTTTGTATGGAGATCAGTGTCCAGATTGTGGAAGCCGCTTGGGAGTTTTGGGAGTTTCCCTGGCGCGGGCTGATGCGGCTCGGCTTTTCCTCCTCTCCCACATGTGTGGGTGTCACCGGGTGTCACGCCCACCTCCCCCCGTTCGACCCCTCGGCGTCAATTGTCTTGTAATTATTTTCTTGATGTTTGATAAATTGAATATCGCTCTGTGCGGAAAGTCTTTCTCCCCGCCCTCGTCGCCGCGATTAATCATGGAACAATGGCGGGCTTATGCAATGCGTGGGACTCTCCAGCTCGACCTTTGGCTGGAGCTGGAGGTGGCCAAGATGCGGATGGGGTTGTCGTGGGGTTTAAGCCAAGGCCCAGCAGCTGTTAAAATGACAAATGATCGATGCCATATCAGTGTAGATGGGCGGTAAATGCTGTTGCAGAATTGGACAAATTTTACACAGATAATCTGGCACTGGGCGTTGGATGAGAAGGAAGAGTTTTACCAGAAACAATTTGAGATTAGATAGGATGAGAATATGGTACGAATTGAGGTGATAGGTGAATTATACTTTGCAGTTGAATGAGCAACCGAAAGAAAAGGAGCAACGGCATCAAGATATCATATGGAAAAGCATAAATCGCACATGACTTTCATGTGGTGCGCGACACTCTGTAACAATATCCTTTCGAGCCAAGCCTTTCTCTTGCCACAACTCCACCCTTTCACCCCGATCCCTTTCCCTCCTTGTTGGCCTAATCAATTAGCCGCCTGGGCATATCAAGTATACGTCATGTTAGCCACATAAGTTGAACTCAACAAACACCTTTTTAATTTCCCTTTTTGTGGGCGCTCTCCTTTCGATTCCAGGTGTTGTACCATGAAATTGTATCACACGCTCGAGTGGTGAGCTCTTGCATCCGCGCCGCCGAAAAGGAGCAGCAACTCCAGCAGCAGCAACAGCAGCAGCAACAACAATTGCAACTGCAGCAGCAACTGTCGAGCCAGCAACCCGCCTCGTTGACCAGCAACTGCTCCAGTGAGTCAACCAGCGACTCGGCCACCAAGTCGAGCAGTCTGAGCAGTGGCTTCGCCTCCGAACCGGTGACCACACCCACCGCTGCCACAGCAACCACCTCGGCTGCCCCACCGCCCAGTGGCAACCACCCGTCCAAGAAGGGCGAAGGAAACTTGGAGCGACTAAGGGATCGCTACCATCTTCTCTATCTGAAGGCCTTTGAACTGCAACTGTGCCTCGATAATCTACTGAGGAAACGCAGCTCCACAGCGGTAAGTTACGAGAAACTTTCTTATATATAGGTTAGCTTAATTTATAGTTAATCTGTGTGAACTTCAATCGACTTCGAACTGTACAAAAATGAATTCAAAGAGGAGTACTTCCATTAGAGCCTCTGCTAAAAGCACCCAGAATTTATCACTCTAATTTATGGCTCATCAACATGAACTTGAATCGATTAGGGATTATCCGAAAATAGCCTTCGCAGTGCTTTGCCCTTGGCGTGTCTACGACTTCTGTCACTTGGGATTATCTACTTGGCGATAAAAAAGAAAACTCCCAGCCAGCAAGGGAAAAGCACTCGAGATGCCAGGGATTCTTGGAAAGAAAGAAAATGCATTTGGCGCCGCTTTCCCCGCACGTCCGTCGTCCGTCGTTCGTCGTGTCGCATTGCCAATTGTGGAAATTTCTAATTACGTTTTTGTATAACGCGGCTGCGAGTGATTTAATTAATTCATTTAGTGAAAATGCCGGCAATGCGACAAAAATGTATTGGGAAAGCGGCAGAGTGCAGAGCAGTGCGATTGAATAGCGACGCGAACCTGGGAGAAAGATGAAAGAGTTTCGCTTGGGTGGCAATGTAAGGTGTGTCTGATGGGTTCCTGTTTGATGGGAAGATGGCGGAACTGAAAATGAAGAGTTCTCCCCACAAATCTAATTATCTATATTGTAGCTATGATTGTGAAAACTAAGTTAATTAGTTACGGAGTAGTTTCAAACTGATCTGCACTTCCTTTTCCCTCTGCAAAAGCTACATGATTCACCTGGCATTCTGTTCCTCTCGAGGCATCCGTTTCGTGTTTAGATCCAGTGAAAGTCAATTTCGCGTTATAGACACGCTGACCCAGTTTCCTGGCAACCATCCAGTGGATGGCTGCGGATGGACGGATCCTCCTCTAAACGTTTCCTGGTTAAAGTTCTCTGCCCCTCTTTGTCTGGTAATTGGAAAGCGTTTTCCATGCTCCCCTCTTAATTGTGGGTAATTTGCGGAGTAGGAAGCTCAAAACGCTCTGGCCTCGTGCCTGGGCCTTCTAGCTGAATAATTCATTCGAGACACGCACTGGAAGAGGCGTCTTCTGACCCACACACACGTTCTTCGCGGCTTTCTTCCCGCACTTCCATCGGAGGCCTCTGGCTGTGGGGCAGCTAACCTTTTTTGCGGACCGCTTCATTTGATTGCGCTGCGGGCGAGCTCTTATCCTCCCCTTCCTTCCGCCCCCTTTTCCTTCCCCTAGATATTTTCCTCGTTGCCGCAGAAACAATTTCATTTTCCAGTGCCTGGCTGATGCAATAATTTGCATCCCCCCGGGATCTGTCCATGACCAATCTCTATGTGGGCCGATCCAGTTGGCAATTTTCAACACTTTCCTGGCCACATTTTGCTTTGCTCCGGTTGCCCGCGGGTGAGTTCGCTGCTCCACATTTGCCATGCATCCAATTTCTGGCCGAGAGCAGATTAGCCGCCCCATTCAAGCCGACCCGGGACTTCAAACGAAGGCGGCTGCAATAAAAACAAAATAGCGAGTCAAACGCGGGACAGACGGAAATGTCACAAGTGTTTGCACTCGCAGAAAAAGTTTCCTAAGTCGACAACATTTGTTTTTGCCACGTTTTTAAAGCTTATTAGGTCAGGAGACTTTATAGGAATTCGCTATTAACAATTATAAATATGAGCGGCTAAAAACCAGGATGTAATCTTCACAAATAGTCTTTTTTCCCGGTGCCCCATTAACCAAGTGTCGTAATCAACTCACGGCTCCCAATAGTCAATGACTTCGTCCCCTACCTTCAACCTTCCCACTTCTCCACCCGCGGGGTTAAGCAGTAAGTAGCTGCCATAAAGAAATGTGTTTATATCTGAGGCAACATAAAAATCGAAAACTGCGAAAAGTAAAAGTGAAATTTATGCGCCCTCAACTGCAGAGTTCAAAAGAGTCAGCGTCAGGACGGTAAACTCCGCAATCCGAAATCAGCTCAAAAATCAGCACCGAAACCAAACGAAAGTGACCGAAATGAGCAGCGCAGGGCAAATGGAAATAAACCAAATCAAATTTACGACGTGCCTGAACTTTGAAAAACCAAAAGAAAACTGAGTGGAAGGATGGAAGTTGACCGATTTCCTGAATACTCTGACTTTTGGAAATGCTTTTGGAACTCAGACCTAATTTGATGCATTTTCCGACTTGGTTTCGTTTGTTGCATCTTTTGCGTCTCTTCTATGTGTTTCCCACACTTATGTTGCCAGTTGCGGCCGCCACAAGTTCGATAAACAAATGCAGTGGAATTGCATTGAATTATGCCCCATTATTGCTGTTATTATTGTTATTATATCTCGCCCGAACTCCTCTTTCTCCGTCTCCCGCCCTGGGATTATGTTGTTTATTCTCGGGAAATTGTGCTGTGTGTTTGTTTAGCAGACTGGGACCACGAGACCTTTGGCTGCTTTTTTAGCGGGTTGAAGGTTGAACTGGAGGCTGGGAAACATCTGTCGGCTGAAAGGGAAAAGATCTCGGAATTCGGAATCTACGGGGGGAAATCAAGTTGTCTTCTTGGGGCCTTGAAGCTGTCGTCGTTTTTCTAATGTTACTAATTGGCCGCCATTTGCATTCACCAATTAACGTCCGTCAATGGGGTACGATCAAAATATTTATGAATTTAATTGGCCCCATCATCAGTGCAACAACACATTTGATTTGCTAACCAGCAGACATCAATCAAATACCGACATAAATCAATCCCCAAACTTGCTACCAGTCTGCAAGTCCACACCCAGAAAAAGAAATACGAAAAAACAGAAACGAAGTATGCAAATTTGGTTTTTCTCCGCCTTTGAACCAAAAAAACGAGGCTTTAAAATGAGTGAATGCAAATCGCATAATAATTGACAATTGTGTGGGGAGGGGAACCCCTCCCGGGTTGGCCATTTGGCCATTTGGCTGGCAGTCACGTCGGAATCGAATCGGAACTGCAATTTATGCATGTTGATTGCTTACACATGTTGCCAGTCGCTTGCTGCAGGTTGAATGCTGTATGTGTCCCGGAAAGCAGCTCAAATTAAATCACAATAATTATGTAAAACCGTGGAAAACGAGGCGTGGGCACACCCACAATTTGCGATTAAATACGGAAGAAAAACAATGGGGTTTTTCTGTATCTTGGTGGAGTTATGCTTCCAGATCAGTCTCACTTTCGTTGGTAAAAGTATTTAGCCTCGGCTCGGAATAAAAACCTAAGTAGAGTTCGCAAAAAGTTGGCCACATGTAATGGAAAACAGAAAACTGTGCAGCCGCAAGTCGGTAGCAATAAAGAAAATTGTCTGGCGCTGAAATGGCTTTTACACTCCTGCCTAAGCGAAATCCGTTAGCTGCTCTAGTTTCTGGCTTAGATAATGACAGATTGCCAGCCTAATGTTTCTCGGGGGTTTGGGAGCCTCAACTCCTCTTGTGTTTTTCAATTACCCCGTCTAATGACCGAAGCAACCAAAATGGTTCATTATTTTATGCCAGCCCGGTGGAGGGGTGTCCTATTATCACGGCTAAGATGGGGATTTGTGATCCGCACCGATCTGTGATCGCACACATTGGCTTTCTGGGCCATTGATTTATGATCGCCAGGGAAAGCCATAAAGAAAATCCAGAACAACAACAATAGGCGATCGACAAAAGCAAATTGCCAGCAGCTGTTGGTTAAACGAGCCGCATTCCCATATCCCGTATCCATATCCATATCGATCGATCGCTGGGAAAGTCGGGAGATCGGGACTCAATGGTGGGTTGCCCAATGCGAAATGCAAACAAACGAGAGCAGTCAGCGCCAGGCAACTGCAACATGTTGCCGCTGTGTCGTGTGGCGCAACTGCGACATCTTCAAATGCGATTTATTGTGCTGCCAGCAACCTTACCTGATTTGACATTTGCCAAATGTCAATTCGCGACTTTTGTTTGCCTGCCATTGTTTCGCCTTTGCATCGAATCAAAACCGACTGCAGTTGTCAATATTTCATTTCCATTTGCCAGCAACACCTTTAAATCCAACAAATTTGGGTCAAGTTACTGTAAGCCTTTGAAAACTTGAAACCCATCGTGAAAATGGATCGAATTGTTGTCCAACATCGAATTCAAAAATTTAAACGCTATTTGTTTAACAACGCAATAACAACAGTTAGTCACCTTGTTGACAATCGTGGTAATCTTATATAAAAATCCGATATGAACAGGGGTCACTATGCATAATGAAACATTTTAAGTCTGCCGGATAAAGTTCTCAATTACACACATTTTGAGGTATGCCAGTTTGAAGTGGCTAAAATGTTTGAAGCTGTAGGTAATAGGACACCTTCTTGCGAACCATAATTTTTTTTTTTTTTTTTTGGTGTAGCCAAAAACTTGTACAGAGATCCATAAAAAACACGCCGGCAACCTGCAAATTATGAGCAATTGCGTGGCCAGGAATCGGGCATTAGCATCTCTTTGCGTGGGCATTATGGCGTGGGCAACACCTACGCCGGATCGGGCTCTTTATAGAGCCCCGAGTGCTGCGGCAACATGTTGCACTGTCCGCAGATTAGGGTCAGACCCCGAGAACACCGAGAAGAGAATTGGCCGGGATCTTAAGTGAAAATATGCAAACCATCGCCGACGGCCTGTCGAAGTTGCACATTGCGGCACGCCAGCAACAGTTGCTGCTGCTGATGTTGCTGTTGCTCCTGCCGATGTTGCTGCCTCGACCAATGCAGCGACTCACAGCTCAGTGCTCAGTGCTTGGTTTTCCTCCGCCTTGCTAAATTTAGCATCTAATGCGATTTGTAATAGTTGAGCTAAATTGTGGACGTCCAAGTTGCTGCTGTACCAGGAAATGTTTGCCGTACGCCAGCACCACCACAACGGCAACAACAATGAAAGTAATAATATTGTCGCTGCTGTGGGCTGCTTGAGGGGGTGGTGCATGGCGAGGGGGTGGTGCATGTTGCTCGGCGGTGGTGCATGTTGCCCGTTTTCCATATGACTTGGAGTTTCCATGCTGCTCATGTCGCTGCTTGCCAATTGTTGTTTTCTGTGCGGGTTGTCAACGCGGCGGTGTTGTTGTTGTTGCTGTTTGTTGCTGCGACCGCTGTTATTGTTATTGTTATTGTTGGTGTTTTGTGTCTGCAGTTTTGTCGCGCCATCGCAGAGTTTTCCCCTCGCAGTCGGAGTTGCTGTTGTCGCCGTTGTCACCGCTGGATTAAAATTCATTGAATGTTTTGTGGCGAATTGAGTAATTGTTGCGAAATTTCGCTCGGTTTACACAAAACGAGAGGTTCGAGAAGGAGCCATATATTAAAACAATAATTGCGAATTATGGACACTAAAAAAATAAATGCTAGCTTAACGTACTGAACTTTCGTTCAGTGAAATGTAAGTGAGAGCAAAAACTCAATTAACTTTACGAATAACAAGCTAGATTCGCCTGAAAATTTAACTATCTAGTTTAAAGGTGATTGGTTTGCCGACATTATATCGTATCGTAATAGCAAAGAAAGCCGAGATTTAAAATATAAAGTATATTTTGCACACTTTTGCTCTTCGCAAAAGATCCTAAATATTTAAGTGTCGCTAGTTATATTTATTTTAATGGGGTTTGGAAACTATCCTCCTAAGCATCTCTTCATAAACCTGGTGGCTCCTAAAACTCATTCTCTAAGTCTCCACCGAACCCATCGATCCCCTCCCAAACAACCTCGTAAACTCACCTCTCTGCATTTGATATCTCTGACGAAAAGTGCGGCATAGATAGAAAATAAACAGTCGGCTGACGAATGCAACTCACGTTTTTATTGCAAGATAATAACAGTCATACAAGCACATGCTAATGAAGACTGTTCCACTCCGCACCCTCTCCTCCGACAACCCCAACCAGATATCGACGATAAGCCAGCATTTAACGATAATTAATCGCTGGCGTGTGAGAAATTCATAATTTCAAGCGAATGCATGGGAGGCAGTAGCAATTGTTGGGAAATTCCCACACTTAGCCAAGACATATCGATGGCTATCGCTCTAGTTTATCGTGGCCGAAGTGACAACGAAAATTGTGACATGGCCAGAAATTGCGTGTTGAGATCAAAATCGGAATGGGAATCCAAGGGGCTAAGTGAATGGTTGAGAAGCGGAGGAGAAGACCCGGGTGTAAATGAGGTGCTAAGCGACTGGCACGACATCCCCATCTTCTTTTCTCTCGGCCTTTCCCTCAAAATAAGAGTTCTGCTGAAGTACGTCAAGATAAACTTGAACTCCAATTCCAGCTAAATGGAGGAGAGAACTCCATGAACCGAATGGTGGAAGTGGAAGGCGCGCCCAATTCTTGATGGTTGTCTGGGGTCTGTAATCTTGTCTTCCCGACTTTTGCATAATAAGAACATAAATATGTGTACACCATCCAACACCAGCACCGTGGGCAGTCGCGGTTCTTTAACTAGATTTGTCGGGGATTTCTCGGCTTAACCTAATAAGCTTTTCTGGGCTCTCAACTTGTACCGTTTTGTCAACGGAGTTTTTCCGCCTAATTTGTTTTTCATGAGGCTAAGAGATTGGATAAATACACTAAGATGAAAGCGTGAAGAACGAGGGACAAAGAGGAAATTGGATGAGTCTTCACAGATTGCGTCACGAAATGCGGGTGTTATGCTAATTTGGAGAAAGCCCAGAAACCAGATCAGATGCAGCTGATGAAGAAAAGGGAAAACTTATCAGAGATCAGATTGAAGAAAGAAATAAATAATTTGTAGATGGAGCAGTAAACTCCTTCCCTTCGATGATGATGAAACTGATATGGAAAGATACCATTCGATCCGATAAACAAATTCTGTGACCATTAATAAACAACTTGTAGATTTTCGGTTACAATTTTCGATCTTACTCAAGCCTTAAGACTTTTGTTCATAAATTCCTAAGATTCGATTTGCTATATTTTGCTGGTCCGTTCTTTGTTTATCGACCATCACATTTGATGGCTAGTCTGACCCTCTTTTACTTCCCTATTTATTTACATCATGGTAAATGGTCTATTTACACGTCTCACCTCTTTGTTGTTCGAAAGCCCTGCACTCCTGCCTCTCTTTACCATAAACAAAAACAACCAAGAGGCGCCGAACAAGAGGTGTGTAAGCGATTCTCGGCCATAAATCATCTGGACAATTAGCCACATAATCCGCTGGATCTCGTCCGTGGAGAACGAGCTTCTTCAGATGTTTAGAGCGACCTTCAGGCGGCCTCCACTGGACTTGTTCAGAAACATTTACCCGAACAACGAAATTACGAATTACGCAAATCCGAAAAGGCGAAAACACTAAATTGCCAGCTAAAACATCTGATGGCCATAAAAGTCATTCCACAGCTGATTGCTGATCGCCAGGGGTGAGGTCTCTTGGGTTAATTGTGGAATTTCCTTAGTTTTATTTTATAGAGTGTTAACGCCACATTTTCAGTGTGTAATTCGGATCGAAAGAGGTGAGGGAAAGGGGAGCTCTCGCGGATAGACCAAGGTCACTCGAGGTTGTGCCACGAGGCCTCTTTTCCCCAACAGTTCTGGTAAAAAGCGAAACATTTTTGAAATGCCATCAAGGCCTCTTCAGACGCCTGTCCACCGCCGCCTCTCACTTGTGTGGGCGTGTACATGAAAAAAGAAAAGGAAATTATGGGAGGGAAAACTTGGCAAATACGAAGATCTTTCTACTCTTTTGAGATTTATTAATTTTTGTTTAAATGAAAAGTTTAAGAGTTGCCTTACTAAAATCTATGTTATACGAATTCAATCACAAGAAACAATTGTTGATATGGTTTTTTGGACTCAGAGTGGACATCTGTGTGTTCGGAAAGACCCGATCCAAATCTCACCATTCGAGAGGAGGGTATCCAGCCACTCTTTCTCGCCTCTCGGCTTATCTGACATCTGTCTGGCCAAGTGTTTGCCAGTTGTCTCACTGTCTCTGCTTTTCCGTCCCACTGTCTGTTGTGTTAGCCTGTCTGCTGACTGCCGTCCGTGTCCACCCGCTGATCTCGAGCGAGAGCTTCGTGTGTCGACAATTGAAAGCAATTATAATTTTAGCTTAGCCAGCATATGAAGGAGGAAGAGTGTTACGTGTTGCGATGGAAGCAGGAAGAGCAGCTGGAAAGGAGACCGGACTGGCCGGGCCAGAAACAGAGAGTTTCCCAGGTAGCCAGGGATAGCCAGAAGATCAAGATCACACAGTTGTCCAATTAAAATCCGGGGCTCATATTCACAACTCTATCGAGCCGAAAAGGAAACCCCTAATGAATCCGAATGCATCATTGATCTGAGATCTGTTTTCCTCTTTCTCGTTTCTTGCAGAACGGCTTGGATGACGACGACCAGGAAGAGGAGGAGGACACCGAAGACGACTCTTTCGGCTACGAGGGCGAAGCCACCGAGGACGATCTGAACGAGGTCAACTCGGATCTGGATCTGGAGAACAGCGAGCCGAAGTCGGCCACCCCCGCGGAACTGATCCTCCAGCGCTGCCAGATCGCAGCCACCCAGATTGTCTGTGGCCCCTCGCAATCCCAGCCAGCCGCATCCCAGGTGGAGTCTCCCTCGGCGGATCAGCCACGCGATTGTCTTGCACCTCAAAAGGTAAGTCGTCCCATCCCATGGCGGATGCCCCTCGTTCGAGTGATTTGCATATTCCGTATGTAGTGCTGTTTGACTTGTCGTTCTGTTGAGTCGTTAGTCGTTCTTAGTTGCATGCCCCCGCCTTCCGCAGTACTGTCAACTTTCCGAGCCTGACCTAACCTAACCCCAGCTCGACTAACCAGAGAACCCAAACGAACCTAACCGAAACCGAAAAGAAACGTTATCCCAGAACCCCGAACCGTAAAAGGAGAAACAGAATACTTAGCAAATGATCTGGCCAACTTGGTTTGGTTGGGCCAGTCAGCCTAAACCATCTTGGATAGTAGTTAGTACTTAGATGACTTTTAATTACCAAAAAAAAACTTCTTGTCAATATCATTTTTATGAACCTTTCGGCATTCGACAAGGACAGAGTCTCTCCTTTATTCCAATCCCCACTTTGGCCATTCCCGTCCAAGAAGATCCAAAAGCAAACCCTAGTTGGCACTACTTGAAGGGCAGAGCATGTGTTTTGTATGAGTGTGCTCCCACGACAACCCGACCCACGATCCACTGTCCACTTTCCCCCGTGTCGACCCACTTAACACTTGTCCAACCCTCCCACACTTGCATTCAGCCCGGCGATGAGGCCGACGAGGAGCTAGAGGAGGAGGACGAGGACGAGGACCCCGATCCGGGCGCCGACGTGGTGGACTTCCTGATCGCCAAGCGGTCGTGGAGACAGGCGAACCACCCGCACCCGCACCCCAGTGGGGCAGCCACCCTGACCGACTTTGAGGCAGACTCTGAGAGCAGCGACTTCGAGCAGGTGCGGCAGCTGGGAGGCAGAAGGGGAGTGCCAGTGGCGGCGACAAGCTCCCGCAGGGTCCTCCTGCACCTCGCAGAGATGCCGCAGGGCAGCGGCGGCAACCTCACCGGCAGCGGCAGCAACGCGCTGCTGCAGCAGCGACACCACAACATCGGCGGCAAGATGCTGCCCAGCAAGGCGCACAACAAGAACATCGCCGTGGCGGTGATCACGCCCAACTCGCATGGGAACACCAGTCACGGTCACGGTAACGGGATGGGTCACGGACTCGGTCACGAGCTGAACAAGAGTCCGCTGGGACTGCGGAAGACGCGCCACCACCACAGCGACACCTCCAAGTTCAACCGCTCGAACCGCAAGTCGAAGAACTGCGCGATCTTCTACTTCAAGCACCTGGACACGGACAACGAGCAGGGCAACGCGGCGGGCAGCGACCTGCAGAGCGAGGACGATCCGTGCCTGATCCGCCGGCGAGCGGATCCAGTGGCCAGTGTAGCTGGCGGCGACGTAAGTACCCAAGCACCGTTCCCGGGTGGCGGATCGCCGCGACCTCTGTGGTCGCACGCGGGTCACACTCATCAGCGGATCGGCGGAGCAGCGAATCAGCGGACCGACCGCATTCGCTCCGCTCGCCGAGGTGTTGGGGTCACGTTCATCAGCGGTCGAGGGTCTCTTCTTCTGCGCCCCTCTGCCCAACTAATTAGCATGCCGCGACAGCTCGCTATTTTCGATGTCTGTAGCCTAACACACCGCACGTATATCTAATAATACTCATAGTTTTTGGCATGCCTAACCACTTCTTAATTAACTTTTGAATACGTACTCCATTATTCGGTAGTCTGCATTATCAACTAATCCAACACCGCCAGCCGTCGGCTGCTCGATCATTAATCATCCGACACAAAAGAAACAATTTTCGAGATCAAAGGAGTCGAAAAGTAAAAGCTTTAGTCTAGTGCCTCATTTCTGTTTCTTGTGAAACAAAGAAGCGAATTAAATCGACGAAACCCTTAACTTTAGCAGATCCCTGCGAGATCTCGTACTTTGTGCTTCTTAACTTGACAACATTCAGACTTAATTTGTTTGTCCGCCTGTCTGAACTTCTCCGCAACTTCTCTGGCCCGCCCACTTCAATTCTTCAGTACTCGGTACTCCCCCTTCGATTCCCCAGCCTGCCTCCCACATTTGACAACTGCTGAGGTCGTCACCATTCGAAATGGAAATAAATTGCCAGCACAAAGACAAGGCAGAGAGTTGGTGGAGTCGGTGGAGTTGGAAAAGCCAGAGAAGTCAGGAAAGCCAGCGAGAAGGCGTTGTTGTCGGCTGGCAAGCGGAGCTTCAAAGATGTTGCTCATGTGCAGCAGCAGCAACAGCAAGTTGCAAGTTGCAAGTTGCCAGTTGCCAGTGCAGCGGCACAACAATTTGCCATTTTGCGCAAGTAACGCTAATTAAACTTCATTTTCTACCACTTCATCTTCATCGCCGGTTTCTTCTGCAGTTGGCTTTTCCTTCGGCGAATTTTGTTACCACTGATTTTAATGTTCCACTGCGTTTTCCCTTCCCATCCGCCGCTTTCCTGCCTTCCTGCCGCACAGATACTGAAGTCGGCTGATGCCTCAACGGATGACGACGACGAAGGTTGGCTCTACACGGCGACAGCAGCAGCAGCATTGGAAGTTGCCTCAGCAGCAACAGCAACGGCAACATCAACATCAAGTGCCGCGGTGGACGGTCTGCAGTCCACGGCCGTCTCCTCTACGACGGCAACGGGTGGAGCACTCCCGCCCAGCGACGACTCCGATAAGGAGAACGAGGAGGCTTCGGTCAGCACCACCAGCCAGCAGATCGTGGCAGCATCGGCAGCAGCAGCAATATCGCACAGCAGCAACTACGACAGCAGCAGCGCCTGCTCCTCCTCGAACTCAAATTCAAATTCAAACTCGAACTCAAACGGCAGGCACACGGAGACCTCGGCCACGTCGCGAGTCACCCAGCTGCAGATGCAGATCCACTCACACTCACATTCGCACTCGCAGATGCAGATGGAGTTCCAAATCAATGGCAATGCCAGCGATGGCAGACACGTCATTAGCAACAACAATTGCTACAGCAGCGTGCAACATCAGCAACATCAGCAACATGAGCAGCAAAACAACAACGAGGGGGAGGCAGCCGAGGATCTGGCCAAGATCAAGATGGGCGTCGATGAGACAACTGCTGATATGGCAAATGGAAACGCCAGCAAATCCCAGCAGGTGAGTGGCTTTTGCATCCAGGGAATTGGGTTTCACAAAAGAAAGTAAGATCGCGGGAATTAACTATGAAGTCGTTGACTAAACGGGGATCAATTTATTACTGCAGTAGAAAGATATTTTCTTAATTATTAGTTCTGATAATGGCTTCCTTATTGAATGAATTTAACTTTAATGTATACTTAGTTAATGTTCTCTACATGACACCATAACATTTTTATCCCATTACTAGCTTAAATCATTTTGATGGGCATTAGGCATATACCGAATAGGCAGGCATCCCTTTATTGTGCAGTATTTTTGAACCACTCTTCGAGAACCTCCACAATCAGATCGACTTTGCCACTTGGCCATTAGTGGAGCACCAGGAATGGAGTCCGAGTCCGATCGCAAAGCCGTTCCGCTGCGCTCCTCTCGAGTGTTCGACAAGTTCCCACAGTCAGTCAAGTGCCAAGTGCTCGAGTCTAGTAACCATGTCTGTGACTTGTGTCAATAAAAGAGCTTTGTTTGCCGCAACTGCGAGGAGCGAGGGACTGGGCTGGGATCAGGTTTGGATTTAGTTTGGGCTTGGGCTTGGGGAACGGAAAACTGGGCGACGGGCAGAGCGTTTTCAATAAATGGAAAACCTCGGCGGATGATTAAGCAGTTGGGTTAATGAAAGCGAATCATGCACCGACTGCTGCAACTAGCTCCTGCCTCCTGCCGCTTGGAAACGGCGGACTGAGACTGAGACTGAGACCTCGATCGATGACTACCGACATGGCATGATGTCGTGGTCCAGGAAAAACGATCGCCGTCGCTCGGGAAATTGAGCGGAGCACGTCAAAAATGGGAAAGTACGAAATTAACTGGGAAACGTGTGATTTATTTCTTCATTGAAGGCAAATGAAAAGAAGCCCGTGCAACGTGAGGTGGAATGAAACGAGACAATTGAAAGGGACAAGATTGGGCGAAAGACTGCAGCTCAAGCTGGAAAAATAGTTGTGGTCTCTATTTGACATTTTCAGCAGTAGGAAAATCATTACAGGGACGATCATTACAGCTCTCTCATGCGATTAGTTTCTGTTTTTTGTAATTTGTTTTGGGACACTCTGTTGTATCGCTAATACTAATGTGCATTTCCTTTGTGCCGCAGATGAACAACAGCTTCTACAGCCGAGCGGACATCTGCAACATCAGCGTGTGGCCAGCAGAAACCGTGGCCAGTTGCCACTTGCCGCCGAGATCGCCGGCCAAGTCGGCCAAGTCGTCCAAGTCGCAGGCCAGCAGCAGCAACGCCACCATGTCCGCATCCATGATGCACAGCTCGCCAGCCAAGGTAAGCCGTGAAATATTGATGTGATGGGAGGAAGGAAGTCATCACTTCCTGCTAATGAGGTTCAGATAGAGACATAAACATGAGAGTGTGGCTTTGCTTCAGCTGATCATGATTAATGGTTGGCATTGCGTTACTTCACTAAAAAGAGTTGGTGATCTAACTGTCTGCCCATAGGAGAATCTATCTTATATTAAGATGTCCAGCATTCGAAAGAACTACTTTAGGGAACTATTCAGTTCATGTGAAAATAGAGAAACTTTCTCTTCATATTGTGAAGATAGTTCTGCGGGAAACCCACTGCTCCAATTAGAGACTGTTCTAGATTACTTTTTTCGGTTCTGCGTCAGTTTCATTCACACTTGATTGACTTTGAGTTCGATCAAATCCAGCAATGTCGGTGGTCCAACTGCGATCCCCTCCTGCGGATTTGATTTAGCTGTTTGCGTGCGTCGCCTCGAATTTCTCCCAACTGACTTCTGTGGTCACTTTTTGTGCGTGTAAAAGCGGTGGTAAAACATGCGAAGCTGACAACTCGCCGAGCGTAATGGAGTGTAATGCGAGCTGCGACAGCGGCTTTGTGCGGAGGTGTGTGAAATCCAGCGGAGATAAAGGAGTACGGAGTACCATACCATACCAAAGCATATCTCCCGCCGCGGTGCTCCCATCATTTGTCGCCGAATATCAATGTCGTCTCTGAGGTTTCGGAGTGGCCGACGTGTTCGGCAGTCAACACTCTCACTTTTCCCCGGTCAGCCTGTACACGTTCGGGCATTTTCGCAGTCCCATTTGCATTTCGCAGTGGTCGCACTGTCGCACGCAATTTCCACCGTCATTTTCCAGCCGAGGGCACTCGGGCCTCCCCCTTTTTCCCTCCGAGCGGCACGCATGCGCAGTGCGTTGATTTATTGAGAGTGAAATCCTGTGCAGCTTTGATTAATTTTGACAAATTTTGCATTTTCGCAACCCGATCTCGAACCTGAACCTGATCCCGAGCCCCAAAAAAACGAAACCCATATATCAAGTCGACGCAACCAAAACAGATTTTGAGATAACCAATACCGGTGACGTCGGTCAGGCAGAAATACTTTTATATAAAAATCGCAGCCCGGTGAATTACATATCTTATCGATTGGACACACATGATTTGTATCGAATCGCAAATTAAACTTTGCAAACTGATGGACAGGGACAGCATTTAAATAAACGCTGTTTAAAAAGCAAATAGTGACATTAAGCCGAGCCTCAATAAACAAATCACTGGCACAAAAATGACAGACAAGTGAATTTATGTTATTAATAGCTCACCTGGATGTCAAGTTATAGATATTAAGAAGAAAGAGGTTGAAGAGTTGATTTACCTATCGAGGTGATGAAGAAGAGGAATAAATTTGATTAAACAACCGTAATATATATGTAGAGGCAAATAATATAGGAAATAATCTGCTCACCTAAACCAACAATTGGGTTATCTTATCGGCGTTCCCAAATGATTTGTATTCACCAGCAAATGGAGGTGTTCTGCAGAGATACGAGTAATAACACAAATTGAGCAAATAATAAAGCAAATAATGGCAATGGAAAATAAAAAGGAGAAGTGGAATAAATCGCAATCATGTGCAGGAGCTCCTATCTATCAGGCTCCTCTCGCAGATTTTGGCCCCAAATCGATTCGGAATATTATCTTATCAAGCTGTCGCTGTCCGCCTCCTCGACTCCGCAACTCCCCTCCCCGCGGAGCCATTATCAAACGCATTTCGATTCGACAGTTTATTTAATTCGCGGAGCAATCCCACTATTCGCCGACGTGCGAGAGTGAGTGCACTCCACAGCTCAGCCTGAAAAACTGAAAAAGCGAATGAAGCGCCGGCGGAGCATTAGCCTCAGTGTGATTCGCAACGTTGGAGCCGTCGGACGGACGAAATCGGGGAGCGGACTACCCAAGATAATAGCAAAAACAAAATTAAATACCCAACCGACGAACAATTGCTAAAACAACAATAGAAAACCTAGATCTACAACAGCTACAAAATGTGTTTATTTTGCTTGCGAGATTTGCATTGAATAAATGGCAGGCGCAACAACAGCTACGAGCCACAGCATTCCAATTTAGCAGAAATAAAAGAAACATGCATAATAGCTTAACTCATTAAAACAGTAAATTACAGTGAAACAGAATAATTGAAACCAGATTTAAATACCAGTGATCTCCTACTTCTCCTGCTTTGTGGTTGCAAAACTGTGAGTGTTTAACATAACAACGATCTTCAAAATACAATTTCGTATTAAATATAGTAACGGTAATTAAACCAGTGTTCGTGCAACCTTTACCATAGTTTCCCTAAAACTGTGAGCATTGCCTGGCCTCAATTTCCCAAAACAAAATTAACGCGATTAGATTTTGGCTAAAAGCTAAAAACTCGTTGCGTGCGGGTAAAAATATAAATAAAGCCAAACTGGCCAAATCGACAACTGTCAAGGCCCAGTGAGTGAGAGCGAGATGGAGTGGGGCCGACAGAGAAGGAGATAGCGCTGCGACGACAGTCTGAGAGCCACTGCTGCCAAGGAGTTGAAGTCGAATTCGTATCTGTATCTCGAATGAAGCTGAAGCTGAAGCCGAAGCGAAGCTGAAGTCGGAACGTTGGCTTTCCCGTTTTGGGCTTAATTGGCAGGCCAGCGTCCGCACTCGCATTAATAATTGCCTTTAATTATCGCAAACGCCCAATCGCTTTTTCGCGCTCACTGGGCAACTGACTGCAACTGTGAGTTGGACATTGTAAGCCGCAAGCCGTGAACGCAAACGCAAACGCCGTTTTCACTCGGTATTAGAAAAGTGTTTCCGTTTTGGCAGCAGTCGCTCTCAAACTGCCCGCAATCGCGTGCCTCGCTCTCCGCAGGAAGTTGTTAATTAAATTAAGCCAAAGATTACCATCCACTGAGCTTCGAACTTGAGCGGCGAAATAAATAAACTCGCAGCTCCAAAAAGACGGCAAAAGACATAAAACAGTGCGCGACATCTGTTTAAGCGACAGAAAACCTTCAAATTGTTCAATTGCCTGGGAAAAAACTAAATAAATCCCAAAAGCAAAAAGATTTCGTAATAGCACTCGCATAATTAGCCATGCTTCAGTGACTTCGGATTGTGTCAACCAGAAATCATCTAAAGCAACCGAAATCTTATTTTGTCGCATTATCATCTGGTTTGAGAAGGTGGGGAGTTTTGAAAAAGCAGCTATGCGAACGGTTTCTATTTAAGGGAATAACCCTTTTTTGTCGGAAAATTCAAATGGGTTGCACGTAGTATTAATCTCAAGTATTTGGTAGAAGCAAATATCAAAGTTATTAAGAATTTGATTAGGAGTCTACGAATGGTTTGTTTACCAAGAATGTTTACGTACCTTTTATTCTTAGGAAACGGATGCAGAACAATTAAAGGCTTTCCAAAAATAATTTCTTCTGTCATCCGAATCGCCTTTTATATGAAAAGTTCCCTTGTGAGCAACTCACTTGATTGATGAGTCGTGCAAAAAAGTAGTGGGTGTGGGGAGGAGGCAGCTAAATAAACAGAGCTAGATAAGAAGTGTATGGGCAAGTTTATATATGGCATGCTCAAGTCCCACTTTACTCAGCACCCCGCCCCCTTCACTCCGCCACTCCAATCCATTCAAATCCACTCGACAGTAATGACGTTGAAGTGCACTGAAAATGGGTGACAAATGGCGATAAGCGGGTGGGAGAATGGGTTCCCAGCGATAAGGAAAGCACTCCCACCACTTCCACAGCCTAGCGCAGTTTTCCCTCTTCGCTGATAAGATTTCGGCTCTCTTGCGCTGCATTTCCTATTTGGTTCATTTCGACAGTGTAACTTCCGAAACTTAAACCAGTTGTGTTTGACTAAGAGTTCGTTTTGTTAAGACACTTTGGTTCTAAAAGGACATCTTAAATGATATTTATTATTGTAAATTTTTAAATATGTACATATTTTTTAGTTAACAAAAGTGGTATATGGAAGTAAAACTGTAGTAGTTAGTCATCTTAACGACTTCACTGATTCAGACTCCAGCGGACTGCAACTCCGATTGGGCACGCTCATTAATTTCCGCTCTCTAAACACATTTCTCTACCCCTTCTCACTCTCTTTCTCTGTCTCTCTCTTTCTCTGCAGGGCAAGGTCTCGCATGATTCAATCAAGCAGTTGGTGCTGGAAGCCGAGCATTTGGTGCGCGACGCCCAAGAGGCCGCTCTGAAGACGCCAACCAAGCAGAAACATTCCATCATTAAGATCTCGTCGACGGTCAAGAAGCGCGAGGTCACCATGCCGCATCCCATCAAGCAGCGCGTGGAGGTGGGTCCCACTGTACTTTCCTCAATTCCACACCTTTCTTATGTGTAATCTCTAACTCTGTTTCCCCAGGAGTGGCTGGAGCACCAGCCCTCGACCCCACAGCTGCTCACCCGTAGCCACACGCACGAACTCCTGCCGGGCTGCAAGCCCGACGACTGCGAGGCATCCGGAGAGGCCTCCGAGACGGACTCGGTGCCCCAGGGAGGAGCTGGCGCGGCAGGAGGAGCGGCGAACGGCGGCGGCGGGTCGGACACCTCGGAGGGATTCACCGATTCCATTGCCACCTGTATGCAAACGAGCACGAATTCCTACGGGAATTCCACGGAGCGGATCGGTGGGTCAGCGGAGCCCATTGGCCAGCCGGCCACGCCCTCGGGCTTCGGCAGCAGCAACCAGAGCCTGAACGTGAAGATCGTGAAGCGGCCGCAGACGCGCCGCAAGTCGGAGCGGCCGTGGTCTGTCTCCTGCCTCTCCCAGTTGACCACGGACGCGGCCCAGCTGACCACGGCGCGGATCGTGGAGCACTCGCCGCCCGGGCTGGCCAGCCACTCGATCAGCGAGAGCGCCTTGGACTCGCTCTCGCCGGGACCCAGGCCGCGGGCCGCTTCTTCCTCGGGAACGGGAAGCAACGCGGCCAGGAAGGCGGACAGCAAGGGCTCCCTGCGGAGGCGCAAGGCCCGCAAGAAGCGCATCTCGGCGGCATCGGCCGCCTCGGGGAGGAAGTCGGACTCGGGCTCCGAGCTGGGCGGGGACCTCACCCAGACGCTGATGAAGTCCTGCGAGTCGATGTCCTCGCAGCAGCTGCAGGAGTTCACCAACGCGCTGCTGAGCATCCAGAGCATCCAGAAGGGAGCCGCCATCGCCCCCTCGAGTCCCAAGGGGGAGCCTCCGGGTGTCGTGTGCCTGCAGGCGGAGGGCGAGGCGGGGGAGAGCCAGCTGATGCTGCCCAAGTTCCGCGTGGGATCCTTCACCACGGCCGGTCTGCTGGCCAGCGAGACGCGGCTGGGCGCCCTGGCAGCGCTCTCGAACTACATGAACGAGGACGAGCAGCAAGCAGGTGAGTTCTCGGCGGGATCTAACCGATGGGAATACCCAAACTGTGCTCTCTATCTGTTCTATCTGTTCTCTCACTCACAAGCACCCAAGCCGGTTCCGACCAGGCTAAAAGGTATTGCAATATGCACCCGAAACGATTCTATTCGCTCTCCTAAAAACATTATGTCCGCATCCCCTTTTACATTTTTTTATTTTACCTTTTAATGATGGTTTCTTTGAACTATTCGTACCCTCCCCAAACCCCCCCACTATTGAGCATTATTAATAAATGTGTCAACCCCACAGAACTGAGCACCGAGGACCACCACAGCAGCATCTCGGAGACGGCCTGGGACAACTACCAAGAGAAGTACAACTCGGAGAACTACTCCGAGGGCTTCGACTCGGATGCAGCGCGGCGTCTCTTGGAATTCGGCGATGACTATCGGTGAGCATTGGCAGAAACGATGATGCTGAAGATGAGGCGACCTTTGAGGCCGTGCCAAGAGTTATTTATAACCGCTCACAACCCAATCCATTCCGCCATTCCGCAGCAATTTCATCGACTCGCAGTCGGACTGCTGCAGTTCCCTCTCGGCGGCCAACAATCTGGACTCGTTCTCGCCGCCGCGCATGGACTCGCTGCAGAAGCACGAGCTGAAGACCCTCCACATCAACCAGGACACGATCAGCAGCAGCGTGGACCACGCCCGCCGCCAGCGCGCCTTGGAGCTGCAGTACGAGCGCCGTCGCAAGACCCTGGAAGTCAGGCGCAAGTCCTGTCAAGGTTAGTCAAAAGTTAATCCCTATCTGTAACCAATGCATTAATAAATGTATTTCTATCCAGATATGGATGAGACACCAGTGGGCAACGCACAGAAGGAGCAGCAGGCACAGCAGTTGCAGGCACAGCCCTCGCTCTCCGCCTCCGCCACCGCGCTGATGACCACGCCCAAGGGCCAGTCAGTTGGCCAGCAGGTCGGCTATCGCACGGAGTCCGTGGGCCGCAAGCTGGAGTTCGGCGGGATGAGCCACTCGGCCCAGTCGCTGCTGCGGCGCACCTCGGAGAGCGATACCTCGACCAGGAGGCGCCGCACCGTGACGGCGGACGAGCGGAGGCGCTCCTCCCGCAACCTGGAGAAGAGCATCAAGCTGATCCCGGCCACCACCTCCTCCTCGAGCGGCTCCGACTCGGAGGACGGGGAGCAGGAGATGCGCTCCCTGCTGCAGCAGAGCCGCGACAGGCTGGACGACACGCGGGCGCTGAAGATCAGGTGCCATCTGCTCAGACCAGAGGATTATGTGAGTGCACCTTCTTTCCACTTCCAGGCAAATCCTTGCTAACACCTAGCAATCCCATTCAATCCCATCCAGAACGAGATCATCAACACGTGCCGCGACAACATCCGCTGCCTGGAGGCCGTGCTGCGCGGTCCGCCGGGCACCGTGCTGTCCAACCACTGCGCTGGCCAGACAAAAGGTGAGTCCCAGCCTCCACCAAGTACTCCACCACCACCACGCCACCCATCATCATCATCTGCGTCGGCCGGTCTCCGCCGGAGACGGAGGCAGCGGCCGGGCGGCGAGCCTCCTGGTCGCGGTCATCCCGACTCCCAGCAGCTGCTGGTGGCGCAGGTGGCCGAGTGCCAGTGCGCACCCATTACGCGCTTCGTGGCGCGGGTGATCGAGTTCGTGCTGGACGTGGGCAACCTGCTGGAGCACTTTGCGCTCTACCGCTTCCTGGCGGGCACGCTGAGGTCGCTCTACGAGCTGGTCAACCGGCCCGTGGGCGGACGCCTCGGGCGCTTCTTCGGCGGCCTCCGGGGATTGTTGTGAGCAGACTCTGCGACTCCGCCAAGCTTAAAGCTAAAGCTAGAGCATGTATTATCCGGATGCCTTTGATCGCTGTACAAATAGATCTTTAAACACACTGTTACGTATACGATATGCTGCATATGATGTATGATTTGAAGAGAGTTTGTTTTTGCATTTGACAAAACGCATTTCGCATCGAATTTACTTATCCTCAACTTATTCGCTTTTTTTGTTCATTTTTATTATTATTTTAATAATCTATTTTACTTGTTCTTTCCACTTCTCTTCTTGCGCATTTGTTCTTTATTTTTTTGGCAATAAAATCTTCACACCAAAAGCAAAACTAAAATTGTTATAATTCTCAACTTGCGTTTGTATCCGTTTGTCCTGTGAACTATCCCTAATTTAGTTTTTATTTTGGTGTTCTGTCATTTGTCATCCATTCTGTTAACTCCTCGTAATGCCGCTAATGCTGTGTGTTTGTCAAATGTATTAACAAAATTAATAGATCATCCATTAACTGCCGTGTTTAGATTGCTTTGAGTTCAGTGATTGCGATCATCGTGTAGCCTAGCACTAATATCGATCCCGTCCCGAAGCGGTAATGGTGTGCACAAGCCTCGGTTGCTCTTGAAAAGAGCTATTGAGATAATATTAAATAATATATTTTATTTAAGTTCTTAGTTCTAAGACATTATTTGACAGCTTTAACATCTAATGATTGATTTCTTCTCGGTTGGTTAATATCTAATTCACATTTAATTTTCAAAAAATCCTATAGGGATTCTAAACTGGCAATTTCTATTTATTTTCTAGGCTTTTATCCTTTGCTATGATTTTTATAAGTTGAAGAAATTTTGATTTCTACTTAATGCCACTTAAAATGTACATGCTGGTTTGTGTCCGTACTAAAGTTTTGAAAGCACTGACCCTTGAAGCTAATGGTCTCTTGGTAGAGATAAACATTTAAATTTTCGTTAAATTTTCCAAATTCTTTGAAGTTTATTCCGAATATCCATAAATCTGCCTAATTCGCTTTTAGGGATATAGGTACATTTTTAGCCAGCTGCCATGTTTTGACCAACAACAAAATCGAAATTATTTTTACCCGCTGACGTCACTCGCCCGCTGAGAATATTTATAAACAAAAGTGATGACTTGGTGGAAAATTAATTTATTTGCGAGGGTAGATTCAATCATTTACAAAAAAAAAACTTTGGTTGGATACAGTGCTTACAAAACTGCAGCTTTTCTTAGGTTAACTTAGAACTCGCTAGGTAGCGCTTTGGTTATGGTTATGGACAGTGCTCATAAAACTGCAGCTTCAGCTTTTAAGTTTGGGGCCTGTCGTCATCGCTTCTTTGCTTTTTGTTGTCTGGTTTTTGAATTTTGGTTGGGGTTGCGTTAGAATAAAATGACGTCGCCTTTTGAAATATGGTCTTACGTCTTTGTTTTTGTGGCTGTTTGGCATTTGTTGCCGCTTGAGCTGCCGAATCTAATGAGAGGGCCCTCAGACCTTGATATATACATACACACATACACATATAATTTGTATGGGGATTTAGAGATTGCGTGTGACGAAGCCAAGTTTAAAAGTTCTCTGTTTCAGAATTCTCTCTCAATGGGATGTTTGCGTGCAAGCTCCTCTAAGTTTTTACACGTAAAGAATTATTGGTGCCCTCTTATCAAAGATTTTTTATTTTGAATTATTTTGTGTATATATAAATATTTAAATGGAGCATCGATATCTGATATATTATATCATATAAATGAATAATATTAAGGAAAATCAATTATCGGAACAGAAACCAGTTGTTCTCTGTGTAAAACTTCTGTAGTCAAAACAAATAAAACGGGGAGCAAAACTTAATGTAACTGTGCTAAGCGAGCACGTTGCTTTGCCCTCTGGCTCTCCGTTTCTCGCAATGCTCCCCCTTTTTCTCGGCTCTCAGCTGTCTCCGACTCTCCGCATCTCTCAGTTCATTTTCTGCGCGCGTTCCAAGCGGTTGTTCTCTGTTTCGCCGTCTATAATTTATTTTTTACGTGCTTCCGCGAAATTGTGTGAAATAACTTAACTGAATCTCGCATGGTTTCGCCTAAATAGCTGTGATAAAAACATTACTGAGCTCTCTAAAGTTACTTAACCCCATGAAAAACCAACTTGGAATCCCAATTCATAAAACCAAAGTCGCGTGCTTTTCCCCTTCCGTATAAGAGTTCCTGTTTGCTATAAGAGATTCACGAAAATTACTGTAGTTTTCCAAACCGAAACTAATTTCAATGTGCTACTGCCTAAATCCGAGGAAGAGTTCCCATAGTTTTGTGTCGTGTGTGCTCCGAAAAACGGAATTGAAATGCCTTAAAACACAAATTGATTACGAAAATTGATTTCAAGTGGCGCATCGATCGAAAGTGGGTCACTTGGGGGTTGAAGCGAGCTTTCCCGCCGAGGGTTTCCTGGGGAAAACTCCGCCAGCAGAATGGGGAAAGTCAGCGTGGCCGTCCAGACGGATATATCCGAAATGCTTTCGGCCACTTCTTCCACCAACACGTCGCGTTCGTCATCGGAGCAAGGTAAACACTTGGCCACCCGAGCAAACACACTCTGAAAGAAAGATGTGGGGCTATACTCGTTGTTTACTGAGATGATGTGATGGCGGGGTAACATAATTGGGAAACAGGTGTAAACGATGTAGAGGGCCCCAGTGAGGAGGAGCAGCAATGCGCACTGATCTCACAGTCAGATAAGAGTGAAAACGAGCAGGGCAAATTCAGACACAAAGAGAAGAAAGGAGAAGAGTTTGAACGGAGTGATCGGGCCAAATAAGTACGTGACTAAGCAGGCAATTAGAGGAAGATTATTATCTAGAGTTTCGGTTAGGCACACTTTCTGAAATTACTGTTTGAATTAAAAAGTGAGGAAAGTATCTTAAAAAGAGTTTGAGATCGTGTTGTTGTTACCAAAGTATGAATCGTTGACAAACAATTAATTGGAAAAGTAATGAAAACTTTCAAGTATTGCCTCGAACACATTTCCAAACAGATTTGGGAATATACTCTTTATTATGCCCAAAAAAAAACTATTACTGCTATAAAACCGACTGACATGGAACGGAATCCAAAGAGCAGCTCAACTATTTTCCAGATCATAAATCCGCCACTCGAGTGCTTGGCGATCTCTTCAAGCTGCAAATCCGCTAGCGATTGCGCTATTCTTACCGCAATTCACATAAAGAAGCTCAAGTGGTGTTCTTATGGCAGATTCTTCCACTCGATTCCGCCAGACCCATTGACCGACTTTGATCTTCAGGCTGCCAAACGCCAAATCGGGTGGAAAGTGGCTACTGGCCACTGGCCAGTCCGTCAGTCAGTCTCGTCTTCCTGGCTCGCTAATTAGGTTTAGCCGGTGCTTACTGTACCATCCGTGCAATTCATGCACCGCTGCCCCACCAACCCGCTAATTAACGGTAAATGCAGAACAGTGAACACTGCTGTAGCGAACACTTTTATGGAGGCATTCGCCTTTGGAAGATTTCCAAGATAGTTTTCGTTTTGGAGCGAGGAAAGCCGGAACCGGTTGCCTCAATTACCTCATAACTTTTTGTCCGATTTTCTGCTGCCGCTGCCCAAGTTCAAGTTCTCAGTTCTCAGTTGTCATTCGATATGCAAGTATAATTAATTATGGATCGGGCGCCCCATTTGTGGCTGACCTTCGCTTGATTAGAGTTGGAAACGAGATCTAGAGAAACCAAATTGGGCGATTAGTCCAGCTCAAGTTGCTCTTAGTTGCGGTTGCTCTGTAAAGTGGTTCAATGCGTTTCTCTGCAGGGCGTTGAACTGCGGAGAAGTGGTAACAAGCCATTGCCATTTGCATTTCCAGCCCATTTGCATTTCATCGGCGATTTCCGTTTGAGATTTCCTGCCGCGATCGGTAGATTTATTACTTCATTCATGCAGAAACCGCGCGCCCAGATTTCCATTCACAATATGATCGTCACTTTTAGCATCGCCATGATAATTTTCGTTCGCTTCTCCGCCGCTCTGTAATCAGTTTTAAAAATATCCAACGACGCTGTTATTTCTATATTTTTCGCTAATTGTCTATAATTGTTGTCGCTGCCGCCACACAGATGCGCGCACACATTTGTCCATAATTATTCAAGATTAATTTGGCAAATACTTTGATACTTTGCCTCGGGTCAGGCAGAGGCCATTAGTTTATGTTTATTTTTTGGCGGTGACTTGTGCTTACCTCACCTGCCTCGATTTCTGTTTTATCTATAAAGATATGTTATTCCATTTCCTTTTCAGGGGAGGTCTGAACTGTCTATGGGTATTTTTGTTGGGGTAACTAGAGCACGCCCCATTCGGAGAATAGGGTTATCTTTTATAGCCTTTTGTCACGCCATTCCCTGGGGAATATCCTGGGAAATCAAGGAAGGAATACTTAATTAAATTGAGGTAGTCTTCGGTAGCTTACTTTTCGGTTTGGAGGAAGTTATTAATATCCGCAAAAGCCATTTGGGCCGTTATAAAAGTCATGAAAGGAGGATAATTATTTTATAAGAGAACACATATAGTAACATAGCTTATCGTAGATTTGTATATAATTTCTTTCACAAACCCTGCTGTCGGTTATAGAGGGTACAGAGGCTTTGCCTCGCCGAAGCTAACTTCCTTTCCTGTTTTATTATAATTTTTTGTAATTGCTTTTAAAATGAGCTCAGTGAGGTATTGCTTGTTGCTTTTAACTGCACTATTTATTGCCTGATGTGTTCTCTCTCGCTGAACGCGACACCTCGCAAACCTCCCACGTTCAGTGAGTGTTCTCATTGTGGCCAACAACTGTAGCCAACGTCAACGACCTTGGCCAAAACCCCACCCCCTCCGCTTTGCGGTTTTAGCAATTTTCGTCTGCTGTTTGCATTTCAGCTATCGTGACGAAGTGCATTGCAAATAGTACAATAAAAAAAGGAAAATTTGCATGTCAGCAAAGCAGCTTAAAAATTATGATGGTGAAAATAAACATATTTCTGCGCTAAAATTATAATTAGTTAGGGTAGCCCCGTCTTAGAGCTTAATTATAATTGTTGAGATTTCATCAATTCATGCAGTTTGATTAGCGCGAAGAGAAAGTCTTTCGCGGGCCAGTAATCTCTCTCACTTAGCCAAGTTAATGGCTAATCAATTTTATGTGCACTTTTTGCCGCTGTCGAGGAGTTATCTTGCGGAGATTATTCAATATCTGCCGGAAAGCAGGTGGAGCCGACCCCCAACCCCAGCCCCAATCGAAATGCAACCGAAGTAATCTGCGAAAAGCAGCATCAGCTCTAAACTCGAACTTGCAACGAGTTTGATTTGCCCGACGACTTGTGGCCGACCACCGGACTTCGTAACGCACAAACACAACGCAGCCAAAGTGCGTAAGATTAGTATGACTGAGAAAAATAACTTAAAAATCAGGAAAATTAATTATATCATAAATTAATTATATGTTCAATATCTTATTAGCAGTTATTGCGAATGAGCTGGAACTTGTTTATTAGGAGTTATAGTTCTTCCTTCCTGAAAGAGTAGAACTGCGTCTATCAAATCTATAGTTAAGTATAGAAGTTCATTGTGTTTCCCTTGTTTGGAGATCAGTAAAACTCCGCTTCTCGCTCTGTAAATGCGATCGCTTCGGTTGCGCTCGAATTGCTCTTGTGGGTTGGACGGTCCCCATCCTCCGCCCACTGGATGGAACCCAGGGGGAGCCGATCCGAGTCGAGCTTCGAGCTCCGTTGCAACTGCCTGCAGTTCACTCAACCAGTTTCGGTTTGGCCGCCAACAAGTTCGGATCGTTTGGGTTTGCTTTCCTTCAGCGCGAGTGAGTTTAATCCCCGCTGTTGAGTTATCACTGCGGAATCGCAAAGAAACGGGGAAAACTCCGTTTTTGGCCAGCCCCAAGGTGAAAGTAATTTGTGAAAAACTTGCGTTACGCACTGCGTTTCAATTACCCAACCTGGCCACACGCACTCCTCGCAAATACACTGATTTTGGCTGAGGAGCCACCAAAAAGTGGAGCTGTAAATCATCGCAGAAAGCGTAATTGCGTAAGATATACTCCAGTTGGGGTGAGTTGTTTACTTTTATTGAGTTCGCTTTCATAAGCAATAAATTGCTGAGCTATGCAAGTGTTCTCTTCTGAAGAAAGGAACGAGTATTCCATACTAGAGTAATAGGTACACCAAAGTCGGCTCAATAGTTCTGGTTTTATTACTCATTCTGACACTCGTTGCTGGCTGTTCTTTTGTTGCTTTTAGGGTTGGCATCGAACTTTTGTAGCTCGTTCTCGTTCTGGTTCCAGTCCGCCCAACGTTGAGTGCATAATCAATCCAATCCCACAAATCGAGCATTCTAGATATCAGCGGAAATCGCTTTTGAGGGGAAAACGTAAAATGCATTGCAGTCCATTCAAGCCAAACAATTTCAATTAGAAAACTTTGTTTCTCGACTACGGCAACCGCAAAGCGATTGCAAAGTTTTAGCTACTCTTTTCTTTTCCTTTTATATTTGTTGATTTTGATTTTTCTTTTGCCGGCCCAGAGTTTCACTTTCCGCTGCAATTTGCGGCGCTTAGAGAAAGGTATTCATTAACAAGGGCTCTCGCACCGAAGCGGGAACGGAGTGAACTATAAATGGAAATGAGATTGCCAGCCAGCGCCCAATTAAGTTGCCTTTCTCCCGTGCACCATTTAACTCGGCTAACTGAATTCACCGCCTAACCAACCTACCTAACCAACCACGTCCTCACGGCTCCCGTATCCGATCTTCTCCCGCAGATCTGCTCGCCGCCTGGGAGGACCTGCTCGGCTGGAGCGAGAATGCCTCCTCCGCCCGCAAGCTGCAGCAGGAGATGAGCGTGCTGAAGCAATCGCTGCAGCGCCTCGGCGACAAGCCCACCCCGGAACTGCTCGACACGGAGCCGGCCATCCAGATAGCAGTGGAGGCCCTCAAGGTGAGTTTGTAGCAATAATCCCAATCTCCTCCTGTTTTGCTTATCCCCGCTTTCCCTTCGAGCAGCTGGAGCAGTCGCAACTGGCCAGCTACAGGACCAACATGCTGCGTCTCAACGCCTCCGTCCACAGCTGGCTGACCAGGCAGGAGAGGCGTCTGCAGAGCGCCTTGGAGGAGCAGGAGCAGCAACAGCAGCAGCAGCAGGAGTCCGAACAACTCAAGCAGGAGGAGCAGACTGGCGCCGTCCAGAAGGAACTGGCGTCGAGCGGAGCGGTGGCCATCACGGTCACCGACAGCAACGGCAACCAGGTGGAGGCACTGGCCACCGGAGAAGCCTCCACTTCCACTTCTACTAGCACTGCGGCCTGGGACGTCCACTCGCTGATGTCCGCGGAGCAGGAGTTCCACAAGCACCTCAAGAACGAAGTGAGCGACATGTACAGCGCCTGGGACGAGGCGGATGCCAGGTGAGTTGTCCCTCTAATCTCTGCAAAGAATATTTTTACCAGAAGCTCTTTCTATTTATCTTCAGGATCAACACGCAACTGGAGATGTTGACCAACTCGCTGATTGCCTGGCGGCAGCTGGAGTCCGGCCTGAGTGAGTTCCACCTGGCCTTGGGCCAGGACAGGGGCACCCTGAAGGGTCTGGAGGGAGCGCTGGACAAGGGACAGGCCACCCCGGTGGAGCTGGCCCAGAACGTGAAGCTCGTGGCGAAGCTGCTGTCCGAGAAGGTGCACGTCAGCCAGGAGCAGCTCCTGGCCGTGCAGCAGCACCTGGACCCCAACCACATCTACCACATCGCCAAGTTCACGGCCTCCAATGGCTCGCTGTCGGACTCGGGCATCTCCGACGGAGGCGCCACCTCCGATGGCGGTTTGTCCGAGCGGGAGAGACGCCTCGGAGTCCTGCGCCGACTGGCCAAGCAGCTGGAGTTGGCTTTAGCCCCGGGAAGCGAGGCCATGCGCTCGATCGCCGCCCGAATGGAGAGTGCCGAGGCCGAGCTGAAGTACCTACAGAACACCTGCCGCGACCTCATCGTGCGCACGGCAGCCAGCCACCAGCAGAAGCAGCAAACCCAGCAGACCCACCAGAACCAGAGCCACCAGGTGTCGCCGAAGGCCAATGGCCAGGTGAAGAAGCAGGCTGCCAAGGGCAACGGCCACCCACACTCGCCAGGAAAACGCGGCAAGGGAGCTCGCAAAGCGAGGCAGGCCAAGAGCGCTGGAGAGAGTCAGCAGGAGGAGGAGCAGGAGCTCAGCCCGGAGCAGCGGGCGGCGGTGCTGAAGCAGTTCACGTCCCTGGCCAGCGGCGACGGAGGCGACGACCCCTCCGACGATCCCTCGCTGCTCCTCAGCCTGGACAGCTCCGGGGAGGACGCCGAGGAGGCGGATGCCGCCGAGGGCAGCAAGCGCGGGTGGGCGTGGCGCATCGCCAGGGCGGCGGTGCCCATGCAGGTGGCCCTGTTCACCATCTTCTGCGCCGCCTGCCTAATGCAGCCCAACTGCTGCGACAACCTGAACAACCTGTCCATGAGCTTCACGCCCCAGCTGCGCTACATCCGCGGACCTCCTCCGATCTGAGTTGCGATCACCGGAAGGGCTTAACTTATCTAAGCAGGCCGCCAATCTTTGTAGGCTACCGTTACTTACGTTAAGGCATTTAACAGCTGTAACTAGAGTTAACCAGCGCCACTTGGGCACCGCCACTTGGGCAGAGCAGCAGCTCGCCCTTGGCGCTCGTCTCCCGCGCTCGAGGTTTTATAAGGCAGAACAGAGCGCTCTGCTCCGAAAGGAGCGACACGCAGAGGCAGCCCCATTTTATATGTCTAATTAAGGTAGCGAGCGCGAATGGAACGCGATTTATAGTAAGGATGTATTGTTATTTCGGTTAGTTTCCTACGAGTTTAGGTTGCAGTTCGATTGAACATTGGAGACGTACTTAGCGACGGCGACGGCGGAGGAGCATCCCACGCCCAGCCACTTGCAAACTGCCGCATAAAGGAACAGAAGGGAGCAGCCTCCCCGAATCCCTACCCAGTTAATATTTAGAAAGCAGGATGATCAACTGATTGGCGTTTTAGTATATGAGTACTTTTTTGTTTGAAAAACACTGAAGTGCCTACAAATGCGAACTGTGAACGAGGAGCTACCAGCAGAGCAGCAGAGGACGAAGATCCGAAGGGAGGTCCACATGAGAGTATCAATCCAAGGCAAGGAGCGAAGAGAAGCTACACGCCAACCACACTAGAGGAGCTAATGAAGCTAACCACAACAGCGATTGAGATCCAGAGTTTATATTTTTATACGCAACGCAACTATACACAATCAGTGCGAGGACAACGACTCTTCAAACCACACACATCATACTTTTTATGTCTATTATATTAATAGGGTAACGTTAAATTTATTTTGCAAGCAGAAAAATTCAAGAAAAAAAATTCTACAAATTATTTTTAAGGTTTACATACTTTGTGCGTTTTCAAAACTTTAAATTGTCAGTAAAAAGAACAAAACACCATTTATACAAAAAAACACATTGAATAAAAAAATATTGAGAATAACTTTATTGTTTTTCCTTGTTCATCTTATTTAATATGGAGTTGCATTATTAGACGAGAATAAAAATAAAATGAAATGAATTTTGTTTGTTTTATTGGGGCTTATGGCAAATCTGGGATTTTCATATTTCAGATACCAGGCGAAAATTGTAGTATACTTTTGGGGGTACATCATTTTCTTGACTTTTTAATTTGTAGGTAGCAATATTAAAAAATTGTAGTGTACTTTTGGGGGTACATCATTTTTCTTGACTTTTTAATGAAATACCAGGCAGCCCCCTAATTGTAGCAGAAAGCTTCTGTCAGTAAGCAATTATTTGGTATTGATTTTGGCTGAAAATGCAGCCCCCTAATTGTAGCAGACAGCTTCTGTCAGTAAGCAATTATTTGGTATTGATTTTGGCTGAAAATGCAGCCCCCTAATTGTAGCAGACAGCTTCTGTCAGTAAGCAATTATTTGGTATTGATTTTGGCTGAAAATGCAGCCCCCTAATTGTAGCAGACAGCTTCTGTCAGTAAGCAATTATTTGGTATTGATTTTGGCTAAAAATGCAGCCCCCCTAATTGTAGCAGACAGCTTCTGTCAGTAAGCACCATCCATTTGAACAGCCAAATTGGCAGTTGCTGAAAACGAAATACCAGGCGAACAGAAACGCCTAGCAGGTGGCTAAAAAAAATCCACATGTCATCAACACACGATCCACATGGGTTCCACATACGACCCACATACGATCCACATGGGTTCCACATACGATCCACATATGGATCCCAATCCATGTAGCCACCTCCTAGGCATTTCTGTTCGCCTGGTATTTCTTTTTCAGCAACTGCCAATTTGGCTGTTCAAATGGATGGTGATGTACCCCCCAAAAGTATACTACAATTTTTTAATATTGCTACCTAAAAAGTCAAGAAAATGATGTACCCCCAAAAGTATACAACAATTTTTTTATATTGCTACCTAAAAAGTCAAGAAAATGAAGTACCCCCAAAAGTATACTAATATTTTTATAATTTTTAATTTTAATACCTAAAAATTAAAAAATTCAAGAAAATAATGTACCCCCAAAAGTATACTACCATATTTTTAATTTTGGTACCTAAAAATTAGAAATTATTAAGAAAACAAATCGATTTAAAAAAAATGTTTAAATTTTATTTTGTTTATTTTTTATTTACGATCTTATTATTATTATGTATTATATAATATAATTATTACATATAATATATTATTATTATTACATATTATATAATATTATTATTACATATTATTTATTATTATTATTATATATTATATTATTTTAAGGCTATTAAAAAACTACGGCCTTCGCGCATCGTTATGGTATTGCCTTTCTTCAATCTATATGCTCAGCTCCCAAAAGTAATCCGTGGTATGATAAATCTGGAAAAGAAAAAAGATTTATTATATATATATTTATATTATATTCTAGCGGCATTATTTTTGTATAATATAAGTTTAGAAATATATATGGGACATTCTTTTGCCAATCGTACACCTTTTTTTGCGTCACCATTCCGATTTTTGCCAAAAATATGAAGCAAAATAAAAAGACACGTGTATCGGTATTTTGCTTTAAATTTTTTTTGGAAACTAGAGAAGCCCTACTATCTGTGTCACCGAATGCAATTTAATTGTCATTTTATCTTATCCCTAAGTTAGTTTCTAAAAACTGATTTGGAAAAGCTTAGTTGAAAATTTTGGCAAAAAAAAACACTATATTTTGAGTGGTTTTTTGGTTGTAATAAGGCCAAAAAGTGACTTACAGCGGAACCAAACACTGTTTTGAGCACTTTATGACCACAGTTAACGGGCCCGATCACTTTTTGGACGATTCAAAAAAAAATGATTTTTGGCCAATTTTCGCAATTTTCATAAGGGGTAACATCGTCATTTTTTGCGAAAAATGGCAAAATTTCAACTTTTTTGGGTGTTTATACCATCGGATTCAGAATTTTATCACGAATTCAACGAAGTATGCCGTTCCACATTTGGAAGAATATTTCCGGAGATATTGTTAAAAAACTGGAGTTTTTTCAGTCATTTTATGTAGTTTTGGGAAAAAAAAAAAACTTTTTCCATTGGTAATTTGTCTGTTATTTGGGCAAGAAACAACTTACAGCCAAACAAAATATAGTTTTGGAAAGAAGAAAAGCCCAACTATTCATGCCACCGAATGTCATTTAATTGTTATAGTTAATTGATCCTTTAGTTAGTTCATAAAAACTGATTTGGGAAAGATCAGTTGACAATTCCGGTAGAAAATACTATATTTTGAGTGGTTTTTTGGTTGTAATAAGGCCAAAAAGTGACTTACAGCGGAACCAAACACTGTTTTGAGCACCTTATGACCACAGTTAACGAGCCCAATCACTTTTTGGGCGATTCAAAAAAAAAAATTTTCATAAGGGGTAACATCGTCATTTTAATTTTAGGTGTGAATGCCATCGGATAGGAAATTTTATTGCGAATTCAACGATGTATGCCATTCCACATTTGGAAGAGTACTTCTTGAGATATTGCAAAAAAACTGGGCTTATTTGAGTATTTTATATAGTTTTCGGCGAAAAAAAATCCTTTTACACGTGTCGAATAAAATCTTCCATAAAAGCTGAACAAAAATTTTCATTCAATTCTAAGATATAAAAAAAAATTTTCTCGAATCCGTACGATTTGTAAAAGAATGTCCCATATGTGAATAATTATCACGTCCTCAGAGAGTTAATATACCACATAAAACATTTTTTCTACAGTTTTGTTGCACAGCAGGCTTCGAAATTTGTCTTTAGCTATTTCTAAATCTATCCTCGTTAAAATGGAATAGCAGGGTAACAGAGAAGAAGGCTAAAACCTGGGGTGCTTGTAAAAAATGCTCTAAGAATCAGCGGAAAAAGGGAAGGAGGCGACAGTGGGACCATCTGTAGGACGCAGAGGAGAACATAAACAAACACCCGCCGCTCCGCCTTCAAGACACAACCATGGCTTTGGCAGACGAGGGCAACTACGCCTTTGTGAAACAGGTGGCGCTGGACTGGCGGGAACTGGTGCGCGAGAGGCGTCAGAGCCTATTGTCGCCCACCCAGAGCATTTGGATGGAGGATGCCCAGCTGCCGATGGTGGAGCCAAAGGCCCGGACAGTTTCGATGATCGCGGCCGAGCGGCGGGAGTCCAGCTTCTACCGGCACCGCTTCTCGCAGCCTATGCCCGTTGCGATCGAGCGGCGGGAGGTGGGTTCAATATTGGCGGATTTCATCCAGGTCAGCGACGACGTCCAGCTCTTCATCTACCAGCCAATTCACGTCTCGCCGTCCCTGCGGGCCTCCATTCAAGCCATGTCCCTCAGTGAACTCAGTGTGGCCTCCACAAACCCGGAGCAGCATGTTGTTGCCGAAAATGCTGCCAAAGAAAGGGAGCCTATATTGACACCTGGGACCACGTCGCCCTAATCGTTAGACTTCCGCGATTCTTGCGAGGCTAGAGCAATAAAACTTATTCCTCGAATAGGGGTGTTTATATTTTTAGCTAAGTTAGTGGCTGCCAACGGATCTGACAGCTTCCTGAACTTTTTAGGAGAAATATTCTTTTTCCGATTCCTGCTCCTTTTGATGTCCCGGTTACCTTCTATCAAGCATTCTCAATCTAGACGTCCGATGACTTTGATGGATCTACGCCAAATGAAGCTCACTGCAAACTTGACCTGAGCAAGGGAACTCCACCTACGAGTATGTCAGCCTGAAAACTAGCTAAGGGCTTCTACAAGAAAGTTTCGCTTATATAAAGCACACGACCAATAAAAACAGAGTCAAGTATATAAATAAAATTTCCCCTTACTTTTCAGTAGCTATTTCTCTCTGTCTCGTCCACACGAATCTCCGCACATGTATTCCTGTCACGTTGTATGGCTGTCTCTGTCTACTGTTAAATTTCTAGCCCAGACACCAACCACTGTTAAGCCTCTAAGAGTTAGACCTCTCAAACCAACGCTAAGAAACGCAATAAAAGTAGCGGCAAATAATTAAATATTATAAATTAACGAAAAGCTAGTGATCTACTAAATTTCTGCGATCCTATACAAGTAGTATAGTATATACAATACCATACGAAGCATAAAATTTGACATCAGCCCTGCTTCTCCTTTTCTTCCTTTTTTTATACTCTTATTTTTTCTTTATTAATCCATCTTATAAAGATTATCCTTAGCCACAGCGAAATGATCAACACCAAAGCGAGCTAAGTGTGCGAACAATGAAAACATAATTTTGTTTACGCCTAGGGGGTAAAAGATTGAACGAAAAGTCACCACCAGAACCAGAGGCACCAGAGCAGAGGGCTCAACAATTATAATAATATGCTTACTTACCAGCCAGCCAAAAAGGGGCGTAACCAGGGTCCTCGACTTCACAGCACGCTCCTCAATTCGCGTGCCACAGCGGAAACTACCTAAAAATTAAATTTGCATAATTTTTAGTCCGTTGAAAAAATAAGAGCCTGATGATGGTTGAATAGATTATGGATAAGTGAGGAAATAGTGTTGGGTGACGTTTTAAGAGGGAAATGAGACAATTAATTTTATATCTTAATGGAAAAGAAAGATTAAAACATACATATACGAGTATGTACAGAGCAAGGATTTGGTTTAGATTTGTCTTTTATATTTTCTATTGTACGATTATGTAGGTTTTGTCTTCCTCAACTTTTGAGATTGTTTTTGATTTGGATTATGGAAATGAGTTGGCCTTGCTGATTGGAGATTGTCAATAAGCTGTACGGGAAATTGACTAGAGGCAGAAAGGGCGAAGTACTCGGCTCAACCCTTAAGCTATTCATTAAACTTTGTGATTAAACTGACCACAGCATGAGGGGTGGAAGGGAGGGGTTGAGGTTGAAGCCCTCACACACACGCCCATGTGGCACCCATTCCACCCTTCGGACCTGCAGCAGTTTAGTCAAGTGAAGTGAGTGAAGCGAGCCACGCCGACTGCTGACAGGCTCATTAAATGCCGCATTCAGTCGTCCTTCAAATCCAACCTCCTGCCTTTCCGTTGGCCACGAGCCAAAGTCAACACATCAAATTAAATGCCCCCGACCAGAATTCCACCCAAGTGGGCTAATTTTCCGAGCTCCAACCTTTAAATTCGCAAGAGGAAAGAGGGAAAAACACGCTAGAAATACAGACGGCAGAAACCACATAAATAATGCAGGGAAAATTGTGGAAAATTGCCGTAACAATTTATGTTGACATTATCTCGAGAGACATTTTTCTATCTGGCTTTCTGGGTTTCTTTCCTTTTCTGGATGATTAATTACCGAAAAAGAAAAATATTTGAATATGAAAAACGTTGCTTACGATAAGCGGGGGGCGTAAAACTTTTCCTTATTGCTCCCCAGTTGCCGATAAACTGGAAGGACTTTTAATGAACTAGGTATTTCATCATCTTTCCAAAGGAAAAAAGATTTAACAATAAAATTTATATGAAGTTCTTTTAATTTTGAAGCCGATTTATCTAAAATCTTTGCTGAAAACTTTTAGGCTGTGTTGTAAATTACTAGTAAACTTGTTATACCCTTGCGGAGGATATAAGGTATAAAGTATATATATTCGATCTAAGTCGAAATTCGTTTGTACGTCTGTTCGTCTGTCCATCTGTCTGTTTCTATGTAAAGTAGTCTCTCTAGTCTTTTAAAGCTACAGTAGTGGACACGAGTCTAGCACACTATGCAATCCCCATTTTTGAACTCCAATTTCACCTTTCCCCGGAGATTTTTCGCGGAATTTTTTTTATGTACGTTTGCTCTATTAATAGGAGAACATTTTAACCATTTTATGGTTTTCACCATTTAAATGTGTTTTCTCTTGAATATATCCTTTTACTCGCTTAAAGGAAAACATTCTCGTGTATTTATTTTACTCTAAACATATACAGAAAGGCGAAACCCCTAAAAGTACCTTCCCCCAACATCGACAATTCACCTTCTTCTGGGCTTCCAATAAAATTCGATTTTTGTTCGGCATCCTGACCCGAAGGAGAATCCGAGGAAAAGGTCCTGCTATTAAATGTAACTGCGTCGTAATTTGCATAATTTTCTATTCATTACATAATTCTGTCAATTTCCAATACATTATAATTTGTTAGAGAACACAGGGCGAGCACAGGAGAAAATATGCAAAACAGCATCCGAAGAAAAAATGGAACAAATTATATAGGGGGTTTTTCTCGCCGCTCTTTCTCTTTGTTGTCGTTCCTCTTACTTGTAATTTGTTTTCGGCTTAAAAAGATTATTTTATGGTGAAAACAACCCGAGGCCAAGTTGTTCAATTTTTTATGCGCAATATGCCGGAATCGAAAGGACGAGAACAGGTCACCAGTGGGGTAGAGAAATTAACACATTTGGCAGGAGAGATGTTCCAGATACGGTGAGTAAAGCCAAGGATCCGGAACTGCCAGAGCGTAACCTCGGATGAAGAAAAAAGAAACCGCAAACTTATCTAATCCTCAACCGGAACCAACACGAAAATCACGTAGCCATTATAAATGCAAATCAAGTGTCAATATTGCACATTCGAATATTTTCGCCACAAGGATTTTCATTTGGCAAGCGACTGCGAATTTTCCGTGTTTTCTTTTCCTTCGCTTTGCAAATCAGCAAAGCAAACATCTGAGACAAAAGTGGAAGGCCCAGTGCGAAATCAATTGGAATCCCAAATGTCAACTGAGTGAATTCATCGGGAGTTTCCAGCACATTTGCCAAAATCCTGGTCAGGCATACTGATGAGGAGTGCAGGTTACCGGAGAAGATAATGACGGGTGGCCAAATTAAGGGCTCTTATTTGGATTCTCTTGAAGATTAGTAGGTTTTTCTTGCAAAGGGATTTCTGAATGATTACGTGATTTGAAAAGCCCCTGAAGTACATATAGGCTCATTTATTATTTATTTATTTACCTTTCAGGTTTATGAAACGATTCTCATAGATATATTTTAAAGTTCCTCCATACGATTTATCCTCAAAGCTTAAAGTGGGAACAAGCAGTTCCTACGTGCCAAGTGGCTGTCAACTTCCGCTGGTGGAGACCCCTTTCCACCTAGTTGAACCCCCTCTAGAAACCCGCAAGGCAGCTAATTAGTATTTTAAGCTGCGACAAACTTGCAACTACCAAAAGTTTTACCCGCAGGCAGGTCAAAAGCCCAGGGGCCAAGCCACGAATACCTTTCCCTCTATGACTTCACCCTCGGTTCCTGCTGTTCCCTTCTGTTCTCCACCGAACTTAAATAAGTTGTCATTGCAATTTGACTTCTGCCCAGAGGCGTCCCGCCTCAAAGAAATTATAAGTATTTGATACCCACTTGTAACATGATCCCTCATATTTCCCAACCTCAGATCGAATCTCCCCCTCCCGAAATTTGCATTCGTGACTCAATACAAAGCCGAAAAGGTTACAAAAAAAACTGCAGCCAGACACGCGAGTCACGCGAATTATGCAAAATGAGAAGGAAAAGATTTAAGCTTGGGATGTTTGCAAAAGGTTTTTTTTTTTGGTTTTCCCCAGCAGCTCATAATGCTGTCATATGTCTGGCGATGGGTTTTATTGGGGAGCCTACATTAGCTGACATCTCTCTTCGGCAGTGAGGGAGTTATTAAGGTTTTATTTTGTTTTCTCCGACTCAAAGTGGCGTGCGAGCATCTTGACCTAATGGAAGACAAACATTTATGGCCCTCTGACCTTCTGCACCCGCTGGAAAGCCCCCTTCTCCGCGTCCGTATTCTCATTCATTCAATTACATTTTTGCGCACACTCAGCACTAAAGGGACCGCTCATAAAGCGTCAAAATTTCGTCCAAATGAGCAGGCTCTGCCGTCCGAGGAACGGCCTCCCACTTTGTTGTCCTTCATTAGAAACTGCTCCCCGGGGCATTCGATTCGTCTAAGGCCACACACATGAGTCCGAGTTCGAGGCTGAGTTCGAGGAGCAGTGAAGTCAGGACTCCGAGGGACATGTCGTGTCAACGCCATCAAAGTGTTCGGCCTCTATTAAAACTGACAGCTGAACGACCGCCCCACCCACCATTCTTCACCCTCCCCTCATCATCATCGCCATCGCCATCGTCATCGTCAGCTGAACCGCAGCGTAAACATTGCGGCTGGCTCAATGGACCTTGGACCTCGGCTCTGACGCCGCGAACCGAGTCCTGCCCCGTGTCCTTCCTGCCTGCTGACCATTGCATTTCCCCCGAGGCCGGGACAAACACATTGCCTCACTCAGCAATCTGCCTCCTTTTCCATCGCTTCCCCACATTTCTCAGCCAAGAACGACCACCACTGAACTAGTCGTCTTCATTGTGTGTCAATCCTTGAACTAGAAAAGCTAAATAATTCTGGGAATGATTAAAGGCTTTTCCTACGTCAGCGCAAGAAACATAAACAAAACTTAAAAAATGCATAATATAATATATGCCATATGAAATGAAACCTCCTCATAGTGGACAAATAAGTTTTGAATGCCAATCGATTGGAAATTGAACAAGAAATACAACAACAATATTGCAAATTATTCTTTACTGTTAAGAAACTTTTTTTTTTACCTATAAGTAATCCCTGTATGAATGGTGCTCAATTCGCAACGCCCCAATTGTAATTAGTAAGGGAACAAAAAAAAAAAAAACGAACCAGAAATTTTATGTTGTTTTTATGTAAATGTTAAGCTTTCTTTTTTAAGGGTTTCCCCCTTGCGATTTTTTCCGCTGTCTGCAGGTGGCTGTTGTGTTTTTTGTTGGATTTTTTGTAGATATTTCTTTTACAATTTTCCTATTTTACGACCATAGAAAGTAAACTGCCGAAATGTCGCCAAACATCAATGAACCAAAGGGGCAGAACTTATTTACTTATTAGGGAAATTTTTACCATCAATAGGATATTCTTTCTCACGCACGAAATCTGTACTTCTAATAAATGCCAAAGGGTTGAGATCCCTTTGGGTTTTAAAATACGCCACATTCCTGGCTGTATTGCTATAAGTTCATTAGGGCACACACTCGTTCCCACATGGATGGGTTTAATGGGAATGAGGGTGTTGTAATTAACCCGTTTGATGGGGATAAAGAGCCGCAAAATCTGGCGTGAAAACATTTAGCGCAGTCTTGAGGTCTACCACATGTGTAACTTTTTATTGCCACACAATCCCTTCCCTTCACTTTTAATGAATACAAGAAATCTGAATAAATGGGAGAGCTGCTATCATGTTTTCCAATTGCATTTTTAGTATTTACAACAGCAAATAAATAATTGCTTAGATAAGAACTTTCAAGTTCGTAAAGTTTTTATTTCTAAATGTTGTTATTTGTTTACCTAAAAAAACTCTGTTTTCACCTCGAACTTTTTTATTCATCTCCTCTAATGCTTTGCAAATTGACACTTGCTTGGTATCCAACACTCCCAGTTTCTC